CTTTGTATGAGAGAGAGAGAACGTGAACGTATGTGTGCATTATGATAGACAGTGTGCATGTACCTGAGAAAGACAGAAGACAGGGAGAGAAAACTGGAGCTTTTCCTGAAAAAAACTTAATGTACTCAGACCAGGTTAAAAATTCTTATTCTTTATTATTTATATAAATTACTCATTAAAAAAACTGGAGGTAAACCTGACCATACATGTCTTTCATAGTTGGGGTGGCATGGTGGCTCAGTGGTTAGCACAACTGTCTCGCAGCACCAGGGACCTGGGTTCAATTCCACCTTTGGGTGACCGTCTGTGTGGAGTTTGCACACTCTCCCTGTGTCTATGTGGGTTTCCTCCCACAGTCCAAACCTGTGTACATCAGATGGACTGGCCATATTAAATTGCTGTAGTGTCCAGGGAACTGTAGGCTAGGTGGATTAGCCATAGGGTATGCAGTGTTATAGGGTGAGATGCTCTTTGGAGGGTCAGTGTGGGCTGAATGGCCTGCTTCCACACTGTAGGGATTCTGTAAAGAAGTGGGCATAAAGAGAAACTGTTCTACATCTGGTCATGAGAGATACATACATTCTGTACATAATCAGCCTTGCTATATTTTAATACAAATACAGCCCAAAAGATAGCAGTAACACAGTCTGATATTATCTTACTATTCTGCTTCGAGTAGCTGGTGGGAAGAAAGAATCACGATCGTCAATTTGGAAACTTTTAATACGATTCATCTCAAAAGGCGCAGTGAAATATTCAGGCTCTGGTGGAATTTTGTCTTCATCCACTGAGAAAATCTTAGTGATGCAGTTGAATGTGGAGGGTTTCTGTTTCATGTCAATGGAATGTAGAGGTAGTTTGATGTGAAGGAGTTCAGCATAATGACAGAGCACTTCCCACGGTGCGTGGAGTTTCAGAAAAATAAGGTTGCGATCCATAACCTATAAATATAATTTAACAATGTGAAAAATTGTGAACAATTACACTTTTTGAATAATACAAAAGCAAAATTTCATGGAGGCTGGAAATCTGAAATAAAAATGGAAAATGTTAATACTTAGCCAGCAGGCTGCATCTGTGTAGGGAGAAACAGAATTAAACCTTGGAGTCATCAACCTGAAATACTAACTGTCTTTCTCTCTCTATAGGATTAATTTGTCCTTTAAATTTATGTCAGCACACCAAGGATTAAAAGACACTTGTGATCTCGGTGAACAATGACCCCTTCGGTATATCTCCTTAAGAAATCAACTAGAAGGATTGCAAAATAAATGGTATGGAAGCAGTCCATTAAGTCCACTCTGACCCTCCAAAGAGCATCCTACCCAGACCAACGCCCTACCCTATCCCTGTAACCCCAATGGCTAATCTACTTGACCTGCACATCACTGGACGCTATGGGCAATTCAGCATGGCCAATCCACCTAAGCTACACATCGGGCAGTCACCTGAGGGTGGAATCAAACCCAGGTTCCTGGCACTGTGAGGCAGCAATGCTAACCACTGAACCACTGAGCCACCGTGCCACCCCAATGGACACGGAAGATGAATTAAAGTGAGCAAAGTCAATGTGAAAAGATAGAGGAAGGGAATTACAGGAGAGAGAGACATTGAATTAAGAGGAATATTAACATGAAGAACATATGAATTAGGAACAGAAATAAGCCATTTGGTAAGCCTGTTCCACCATTCAATAAATCATCCTCGATCTGTTCGCATTCCAAATTGCACATTCCTATCTATCCCCAGTAACCTTTGAGACCCTTGCCTAAGAAGAATCTATCTACCTCTACTTTAAAATATCTGCTGACACTACCTCCACCATCTTGAGAGGTGGAGAGGGCCAAAAGTGTGCAACCTCAGGTGAAAAAAACCCTTTAATCTCTATCCTAACAGAGTATGCCCTAGATCAGGACTCATCCACAAGAGAAAACAGCCTTTCCATGTCTGGCTTGTCAAGACCATTCAAGGATCTTATAAATGACAATCAAATCATCCCTTCTCTTCTGAACTCAGCCTTTCTGATCATCTGCTCTACCTGCATACTCAGCTTTAATGATTCATGCGTCACAATATTGAGATCACTCTGCACCTCAGAATTCTGCATTTGTTCTTTGTTTAAATAATACTCTGCTACTCAATTTTTCCTGCCAAACTGAACAAATTTACATTTTCCCACATTACACTCCAACTCCCAGATTTTAGCCCACTCACTTATCCATATCGGTCTGCAATCTTGTTATGTTATTAGCACAACATACTGTCTTACCTATCTTTGTGCCATCTGCAAATTCAGCTATCGTGTCTTTTTTAATCTCACTTAAGACATTGATATGAATTGTTAAGAAGTTGAGGGCGCAATGCAGAACCTTGAAGGGCCCTATTTGTCACATCAATCTGAAAAAAGGACCCACTTCTGTACACTCTGATTCCTGTCAGTCAGCTAATCTCCTGTTCATGCTCCTACGTAACCCGCTACATCACAAGCTCCTACTTTGCTTTGTAACCTTTCATGTGGAACCTGGTCAAATACCTTCTGGAAATCCAAGTACATCAGTAGGTTCCCCTTTATCCACATATTACTCCTTCAAAGATTCTAATAAGTTGGTTAAACAGGATATCGCTTTCTCAACCCATACTGTCTCTTTTCAATCACCTTGAGGTTTTCCAAATGCCTGCTTGAAACTTCCTTAATGATCAATTCTAACAACTTTCCCATGACAGATATCAAGCTAACTGGCTTATAGTTCCTGTTTACTGCCTCCTTTCCTTCTTAAATAAATGGATTATTTTTGCTTCCTTCTAATCTAATGGAGATTTTCCAGCATCCAGTAGACTTTGGAAAATTAACACCAATGCATTTGTATATCATTAGTCCTAGGGGCAAGTCTGACTTTCATTTTGTTATTAATATTTTGCTATACTTGACATATATTTAAAAATTCCAACTTACAGGAATAAGCTTTAATTGTTAACTTCTGGAATTTGAGTGGCAATAAATGATAAATTATTGAGGGTACCTGTGCTGTTAGTTACTAGATTTAGCTATCTGTGCAGGTTTAGAGTCAAAGAGTCAGACTTGTACAACTTGGAAACAGACCGTTCAGTCCAACTTGTCCATGCTGACCAGATATCCTGAATTAATCTAGTCCCATTTAATTGATAATTAATGTGCAATTATAGTAAATTTATGAAATTCAGGTGGGCATTAAGTGCAAACTTCTGCTTTCATGTTGAAGGACAATACAGAATGAAAGCAGCTAGCCACATTTTGCAATTTGCAGGGGCAACACTGTTCACCAGGAACTGATGATAATGGCAAAACTGCCTGTATTTGAAATCTTTACTCTAATGAAACTGGCAGGGACTTTGCAAGTCCGTACATGTGCAAAATACCACAGATAGCAGTTGCTATGAGTAATACCATGCTCCTCCACAAACTGCACTGTTGACGATCCCTCAGAGTTTAATCCTGAAGCAATTAGTAAACTGACAAAAAGTTTCACTTTGCTCTGTCTCGCTGTTAATTTAAAATGTTATACTTTGTTCAATTAGGGTTTAACTTGTTTTTATCTTAAACAGAGTCCTATACCTATAATCATTGCTAAACCCACTCACTGGTCCTAATCTAATTTTATCTTTGAGCAATGTCAATTTCTTTTAATCATGATAAATTCCACACACTTTTAATTGTTTTCATGGTTTGTTTATGGTACTATAACTTTCACCTTAATAATTAATATTACTATCTGAAAGTTTCAAATTTAAAGACATAAGTATTTTAAATTTTCTGGTTTGATGTCTGTGAGAATACTTCAGTGTTAGTAGCTCCGTGCTCTGTTTGCAGGCATCAATGCTTCTATAAACCCTGTCATCCAGATGTGAACTGGTGTCAGGAAAAGGAAATTCACGCTAAGGAGATTGGTCGATTTTTTTTGAGATTGACAGCAAGTTCCGTTGCTTCACTGCTGACCACAAAATCCAGCACAAGAATATTTTGCCCACTGTAGCAATTACAACAGAGTGCTGCACTATTTCACAGAAATGTTTATCAGTTGAAGAAGTGTGTCTTAGAAGGGACTACAAGTCATGGGCAATCTACCAAAAAATAGAAGCTGATATTGAATGATAAAGTAACCAAAAGCTTAAGTCATATTTCCATAGTTTAGACATAGAGATGTACAGCATGGTAACAGATCCTTCAGTCCAACTCATCCATGCTGCCCAGATATCCTAAATTAATCTAGTCCCATTTGCCAGCATTTGGCCCACATCCCTCTAAACCCTTCCTATTCATGTACCCACCTAGATGCGTTTTAAATGTTGTCATTGTACCAGCCTCCACCACCTCCTCTGGCAGTTCATTCCATACATGCACCACCTTCTCAAAAATTGCCGCTTAGGTCCCTTCTAAGTCTTTCCCCTCATAAGCATGGAAATATACTGTGACTGTTAATTGTAACAAATAACAAGAAACAATACAGCTTCCAGTGACACATTTCATCATGGGAGTAAACATAAACAAAAGCAAAAATGAAGGCTTTTTATATAAAGAGAACAATCCCCAGTTGCGTTAATTGTAATGAGTCAAAAATTTGCATTCTTCCAATAAATGATTTATTAAGATCAGAATTAGAATTTGAATTGGCTTTATTGTCACATCCATCTGAATGGGTGCAGTGAAAAGTTTGTAATGTCGTCGCTTTGGTGTCATCTTAGATACAGGATACCTCCGATAAGGGAAGTATTGTAGGAAGTGTGCATTCATTGTGTGTGTGAAAGCAGGAGATAGCTAATACATCAGCATAAAGTCACTGCCAACAGTATACTGAACAATATATATGCTGTCCCATTCATATTGTTGGTCAGGATGTTATATTTCCCTTTTTTGCTGCACTTTTACTGTCCACTTCTACTTTCTTTCTACTTCGTTCTGGCAGTTCCCCTGGTGTTTGATGTCTGGCTTTTCCACGCTTATTTTGCAATGCTTTTTTGCGTCCAGCAGACTGACTGGCTTGGATTTTGAAATCTGTAGTGAAGCAGGGCAGTTCACCACTGCCCACAACAGTTTAGCAATCTCTGTGGCATGCACTGCTCTTTCCCCAGTGGCAATTTAAATCCGGCACATGGTGAAGGGGATCTCCAGGTGTTCAGCAGCAGTGGTGTTCATGTTGGCAGGAGGAATAAAGTATTTTTTAAATGCAAAATGATTGCAGGTTCTGAGGTGCAGAGAGAGATCTAAGTGTTCTACTGCACGAGCCACTAAAAGTGAATATGCTTGTACAGCAAGTAATTAAGAAGGCTAATGGAATGGTATCCTTTATTATGAGAGGAAATGAACACAAATTAAGGATGGTATATGTCAGTTATATAATTGATGAAATGTGATTGAGGGCATTGATGACACTACATCTGGGACACTGTGTGCAGTTCTGATCACCTAATTTAAGAAACAGTGGAGGCGGTTCAGGGAAGATTTACTGGTTTCATATCTGGAATGAATGGGTGTCATTTGAGGAAAGATTGGACAGACTGGGCTTGTTTCCGAGGTGTTTAGAAAGGTGAGGAGTGACTAGATTGAAATACACAAAATCCTGAATGGTCTCGACAAAGTGGAAATGGAAAGGGTGTGACCTCTTCTGGTGAGCCCAGAGCTAATGGGCACTGTTTAAAGATTAGGGATTGCTCTTTTAGAACAGAGTTTGAGGAAAATTCTTTTCTCTTATATGGCTGTGCAACTTTATAATTTTCGGAATCAGAAAGCAGTGTAGGCCATACAGCATGGAAGTAGACACTGTGACCCAACTCGTCCATGCTAATGAAGTTTCCTAAGCTGAACTAGTCCCATTTGCCTGCATTTGGCCCATATCTCTCCAAATCTTTCCTATCCATGTACCTATATAAAGTCATAGAGCCTGTTTCAATTTTATTGACGGTCTCCCCATCCTGCCATTGTTTAATCTCTTTTATGTCTGTTAAGCTTCCCCAATTATCTCATTTTCATCACTTGACTTCTTTTGCTTCAATTTTCAATTGCCCTTCTGCTCTTCCATTTCCATTATTACTGCTCCAATAAATTCATCTCCGATCCCCAAGGCTTTCCTCCTTATGCTTTGCTGTCCCTTAACCTGATGCTCTACCTCCCTTCATGCTCATCCATCTTCAGCCTTTTTCCATTTACTTCCTTGTAGCGTTATCATTGTTGAAGGAATCTGCTACAAAGTTTGCATTGACATCCTAGAATCCCAGGAAACAGGCATTTTACATTCTAAAGCAACGTAAACACATTATAAGTTCCAAGTAATTTCAAAAAATAAAAATACAAGTTTCTCCCAATTCATCAAGTAACAAGGCACATCAGTGGAATGGACAACATGTGACTGAGGAGGCATTTAGAACTCCATAGACAGCTGTAGGAGATTTAGCATCAGTCAGGAATAAAAATACCCTGGGGGTAAAACTAGCTAGCATGACCACGAAGCACAATATGTGATAAAGGTGGGCTTGAGCTACATCAGTTGGTACACTGAAACAGTACAGGTGGATCTGCAAGATTTGCTATTATGAGGTATAAAAGGTTTGTTCGTGAAATTGATCTTTTCCATGGCATAGCATTTAGATTTTGCTCCAGATACCACTACTGTTAACCCATTCTTCCACTGTTGGCCATTGCCATATGCCCTGTGTTGCAGAATGGATATGGATTCTGGATTTGGTACCTCATGATAGATCAGTGTGCTATCATTTACTCTTTTAAGGTTACACGTGAGGATTGAAAAACCTGATAGTGGAGGACAATGAATGACATGAAATTACGCCACACTAACAATGCTGCTTTTAGCTGAGGTGCGGACAAGAAACAGAAGGAAATTCCTAAAGGAAAATGATTAAGAAGAACAAATATTAGTTTGGTTGCAGGAATTTATGCCACAAGAATTCGGAAGAGTGCGGTTTTAACTCCATATTATTGAAGAGATTTGAAGTTAAAAATTGGACCCTGGATGACACACAGAGTGATTGCACTAATTTTGACCAGATTTCTACAACATTAACTGATCAATGGAAAGTATATAAAGGTCAAAAATGCACTCACCGATTTTGTTGCTTCAATCTGTATGCCTTCTTTCATTAAGTTTTCTTGAAAGAATGCTCTTTTTCTCTGCACGCCAAATAAAGAAAATTTAAGAGAGAGCTTTAAAAAAAAGGTAATATTCTTAATTGATTCCAGACTGAACTGCACATTTATGCTCAGTTTTAAAATATCTACCTTCAATTTCTATCTTTACACAAACCTGACCAAAGAGATAGCAAACAAGAATGTATTGTCCTGTGCTGAAGAATGAACTCTCAGATGCTTTTAGTGCAGTCACTCCTAATACTTAATACTGTTCCAATGCCCAGGACCAGAATGTGTATAGGAAGTGTCTCTAGCTGTTGCTCCTAGAAGCCCAAGTTTCTGAGCTGGAGAGGCAATTGGGGACACTGTGGAACATCCATGAGGCTAAGAGACTAGTGGATGTTAACAGAAGTGGTCACTCGACATGTTTAGACCACAGAGTCAGGAAGGGTCTAGATAACCAACAAGCACTGTAAGAGGACGAGGGACAGGACATGAGTCCCCTGCAAAACAGTTTTGGACTCTGTTGGGGAGCATGACCTCCCGGAGGAAAGTAGCAATAGCAAAATTTGTTGCAGCACAACTGGCTCTGCTGCATGGGAGAAGAGGAATAGGTCTACATGTAGAGGGAGACAGAAAAGAGGGAAACATGGCAAAATAAAAAGACAGAATGGGAAATAAGAAAGGTCAGAGAATTCAAGGGCAATTGTGGAAGATTAATTTATTACTACGTGTACTTTTACCAGAAAAATACAGTAAGAAGTTTTATAATTCGCCACACCATGACGCCTAAATTAATGACAGAAATCATCAGTAAGAAGGCAAAGAAAGAACTTCATCAGTTCACTTAACGGGTTTGGTATATGCTGGAAAACTGGGCTGAGATGATACCTCCACACTAGACTGCTGGGATACCCCGAAGCTGTCGAAGACCTCCACGCTAGGGCAAGACCACCATGCCAGGTCAAGACCTCTACACTCAGAGGCAACCCCACCAGGCGCCAGGTGTACACCACTGTTCTGGGCCTCAGGAAGCCATCTCATCGCTGAGCCTGGTCCAGAGGAACAGGCCTCCGCCAATGTTGTTAAAACGAGGTAAGGTCCCGTAATAAATGGAAGCATTTTTTAAAAATTGCAACGATTGTTCATTCCTTAGTGGCACAAAAATCAAACAGGAAAGGTAGCCTGGCCATGACTAATAAAGGAAATTAGGAACTGTATTAGATCCAAGGAAGGGCCATAAAAATTGGCCAAAAAACCCAGCAGATCTGAGGATTGTCAGCAATTTAGATTTCAGCAAAGGAGGATAGAGGAGGAAAATAGATTATGAGAGTAAACTTGTGGGGAACATGCAAACTCTTTTGAAAAGCTACTGTAGGTATGTGAAGAGAAAAAATTTAGTGAAGACAAATGTAGGTCCTTAACAATCAGAAACAGGGGAAGCTTTAATGGGGGACAAAGTGATGGCAAACCAATTAAATACACAGAGATAGTAGGAACTGCAGATGCTGAAGAATCCGAGACAACAAGGTGCAGGGCTGGATGTTTTGTCTTTGCAAAGGAAGACACAAATAACATCCCAAAAATGTTGGGAAATGAATGGTTTACAGAGAAAGAGATTGGAAACATTCGGTGACTAGTGGAGTTCCGCACGTTCAGTGTGGCAACCTCAACTATTCACCTCATATATTAATGATCTGGATGAAGGAATTCAGGGCATTGCCGCTATGTTTGCAGATGAGACAAAGATAATAGGGGGCACAGGTAGTGTTGAGAAAGCAGAAGGTCTTGGACAGGCCAGTAGAATGGACGAAGTGGCAGATGGAATAAAATATGGGAAAGTGTTTTTTATGCACCTTGGTAGGAAGAATAGGGACATAGACTATTTTCTAAATGGGGAAAGGCTTCAGAAATCTGAAGCACAAAAGGACTTGGGAGCGCTAGTTCAGGATTCTCTTAAGGTTAACCTGCAGGTTCAGTTGGCAGTTAGGAAGGCAAATGCAATTTAGCATTCATTTCAAGAGTGCTAGAATACAAGAGTCAGAGATAGATAGTAAGGGAATCAGGGTTACTGGGTGAAGGCAGGAGAACAGAATTGAGAAATCTATCAGCCATGATTGAATGGTGGAGCAGATTCGATGGGTCAAGTGGCCTTATGCTGTTCCTGTATCTTTTGGTCTTAAGTGAAGGAAATCAGTATTAGTACGGAAATGGTGTTGGGAATATTGATGGGGTTAAAGGCCAATAAATCCTCAGTGCCTGAAAAACTAAATCCTAGAGTATATAAGGAAGTGGCCATAGACATAGTGGATGCACAGATATGTCAATTTACAAGAATTTATAGACTCCAGATCAGTTTGTATCGATTGGTGGGTAGTTAATGTAACCCCACTATTTAAAAAAGGAGGTAAAGTGAGAACAGGGAATTATAGATTAGTTAGCCTGACATCGGTAATTGGGGAAATGCTGGAGACCATTATAAAAGATTTAATACCACAGCACTTGGAAAACAATGACAGGATTGGACAGAATGTTTTCAATAAGATCCCACATAAGAGGTTAGCAAGTAAAATTAAAGTGCATGAGGTGGAAGGTGGTGTACAGACAAGGACAGGGAACTGGTTGGCAGATAGGAAAAAAAGAGTCTTTTTCCAAGTGGCAGGCAATGACTAGTGGGGTACTGCAGAGATCACAGCTTGGAACCCAGTTATCCACAATTTACATTAATCATTCAGATGAGGAAACTAAATGTAATATCTCCAAGTTTTTAGATGACACAAAGTGGGTGGGAGGGTGAACTGTGAGAAGGATGCAGAGATGCTTTAAATGTGATTTGGATAAGTACAGTGAGTGGGCAAATGCATATCAGATGAAATGTAATGTGGGTAAATGTGATATTACCCACTTTGGTAGCAAAAAGAGGAAGACAGATTATTATCTAAATTGTGATAGAGGTTTGGAAAAGGAGAAGATGCAATGAGATCTGGGTGCAGGTGCAGCTGAATATGAAAGAGGCAAATGGTATGTTGGCCTTCATAGCAAGAGGATTGGAGTACAGGAGCAGGGATGTCTTGCTGCAATTATACAGGGCCTTGGTGAGACCACCCCTGGAATATTGTATGCAGTTCAGTTCTGAGGAGGTAAGTTCTGGCTACAGAGGGAATGCAGCAAAGCAGTTACCAGATTGATTCCTGGGATAGCAAGATTGATACATGAGGAGACACTAGATCGGTTAGGGCTAGTTTAGGAGAATGTGGGGTGATCTCATAGAAATCTATAAAATTCTAACAGGATGTTCCTGATTACAAGGCAGTCCAGTACCAGGGGTTACGCTCTAAGGATGCGGAGTACCCCAATTGGACTAAGATGAAGATAAACTTCTACACCCAAAGTTGTAAGCTTATGGAATTCTCTTCCACAGAAAGTGGTTGAGGCCAAAGCATTAAATATTTTCAAGAAGGAGTTAGATATAGTTCTTAGGGCTAAAGGAACCCAAAGGATATGGGGAGAAAGTGGAAACAGGGTACAAAGTTGGATGATCAGCCATGATCATTTTGAATGGTGGAGCAGATTTGAAAGGCCAAATGCCTACTCCTGCTCCTATTTTCGATGTTTCTAAAACCATGCTGACTCTTCCCAATTATCTTGTGTTTTTTTGAAGTGCTCAGGTCCAGTCTTTTTAATGATCAATTCTCACATCAATATTCAAATTTTACAGCACCAGAATGACACTAAATGTAAAGAAATAGCAGATCTTCCAACTTGAGTGACAGCTACTCTTTCTAATGGTGAGTCACTCTAAAAATGAGGAAGTACAGGAAGATTTAAGCAGGGGAAGAAACTGTCATAAACTGCGGTAAAGAAGTTGACGAACAATGCTGTTTATTTAAGAACTATTCCAACTCTCCATATCACTATTCGCTAATGAGTAGAGGAAAATTAGAATCATCCTGCATCTGAATCCGAAGGAAAAGATCTAATGCATTAACAGGTATAACAGATGATACCTTTCTGCTTAGAATTGATCTCATTCTCTTTTTGTCTCCCGCTTTTCTGTGCTCCTCCTCGTAAACCAATACAAAATCAATTCGACGTTGGCCATCAGCAAAAAAGACGGAGTCTTCATTCCCATCAAACTCAACCTGTGTTGAATAAACCAAGCATGTTTCAATTCAAAGCTTTTCTTTTTTTTTGCTTTCCTGTGACAACAATACATGTAAAGGGCAGCGAGAGGTCTTGCAATCCCAAATGCACAACAATCAACAATGACTTTTGGACTTGCCAGATTTTGCAAGAAAGAATGCACAACAATAGAGGCAGCAAATGGCTAAGCATGAGCAATGCAATCAACTTACAGTCAGGAATATCCTGGTTTATGATTTCACATACCAGAGAAATTAATGTAAAATTATTGAGCCTCCCATACTTCATTGTGAACACCCAAGAGGTCCAATTGGTAATTAGAAAAAGGTACTTGGCCAAATAATCATGTTGAAAATCATATTGTTCCTGATGTACAGCATCCGCAGTTCTTTTGGTTTTTAATCATATTGGAAAGTCTATAGCACAAATAGCTCAATAAATGTTGCTTTAACCATGTATTTCTTCACATCAGCTTTTCAAGATATGCAACGTTATAGAAGGTACTTTATCAGTGTCTGAGTTAATCTACAGGAAATTAACAGGTGGTGATGAAAGCATTAAAAATCGTAACAGTTTGTGACATATTCCTTCTCTTATATCACTTTATTAACTACATTTTATGAAGGGATATACCTGCCTGGAGTATGTACAGCCACTTCAGTTTTCTCATTTACTGGTCTCCTGTTCAAGCAACAGATTTTCCGACATGAGACATACTGGGGCAGGCAACGTACTTGAATCTACATATACGTGCACAACCAATTTTTGTATGTACAAGCCCATTTCTTATGATTATTTTACAACTGTTAAACAGCCATACAACAGGATGCACTTTTAAGGTACAGGTTACTTTTAATATCTTTGTAAAGGACAGATCACAAGCATCCTTTCACCATTTAGAAAACAGGAATGTTAATACCTTAGAAACAGATGTGCTATAACCTAAAGTGTTAATGCTAAGTTGTGATATAACATGAATCTGAATGAAATGGCTCTCTAACACATTTGCTCTCAGCTTTCCCAAATTACAAAACCCATAATCTTCCCTGAACTTAGAGAACTTTGGCTTGTAAATATTCCTTTGAAAGATGAAGGTTTTTGATTAAAAGTTCACAGTTGCTTCTTATGATAGAATATCTCTCTACAGAGAAAGGCTGAAAACTTTACAATTATTTTTACGTATATTTAGATGGAATTGTAATTGTTTTCACATTTGAGACAATCCATTATATTCTATGGGTTCTAACTAATTTTACAATAGCTGCTAGAAAATTGCTAGTTCCGATACTCACTGGGTTTTGCACCTATTCTGAGCACTGTGATACATTGCTGATCTGGTTATGTATCTGCAGGATGCTCACTCACCAGAATTCCCAAGAGCTTCATTATACAGAAGATTTTATGTAAGTTCATTGGTGAAGTTCTCTCCATCATAAGATCATAAGTGGAGATGTTCACCAATGACTGCACCATGTTCATTCAACATCAAACACAATACTGAAGTAGTTCATGTCCAAATGCCTGGACAATATCAAGCAGCAAGTCATACTTGAGCTACACAGATATGAGGCAATGGCCATCTCCAACAAGAAATAATCTAACCACTGCCCCGGACCTTCAAGAATACAGTTCACCGTGACTTTCTCCAGGGCAATTCGGGATGGACATTAAGTGATGGTCCAGGCAGCAAAGCCCACATCCCACTAATAGATCAAAAGAATTGTTATATAATGAGCTGACTTGTGAATTTCCAGGTTCCCTGGCTGGTTCACTACAATGCTAAGCTGGTCCACCTAAAACAAAGTTAAGAGCTACGAGGTGATTATATGTTGGAATGATATGCCCTAAATGTTGCATTGTTAATTTATTGTTACTGCAACTGCAATTTATTTATGACTTTTAGAGATTACAGGAGCAATTTGAATGCAGAAATGGCCAATTTTCCTTTATGCTCGAATTAGCTACATCAGGACTCTGTTAATTGCTTTGTCAAGTCGCAAATAGCTAGTTGCTTTTTGTTGCAACATTAAAAATGATATTGAATGAAATACATCATAATTTATGTCTTAGGGCACTTTTACATCAGAAAATTACTCGCTGGTTGTATAATGAAACAGGAAGCACCACTTGATTTCTTTCAGAGTATATTTCTCAATTTCCTGCTAATCCTTCTGCCACTTATGTTAAATTTATTCAGTCTACTCTATGGGAAACTGGGACCTCCATCCAGTTTATCTAGGTCCCTCAATTTGAAACAGCTCAAGTGAATTTTCCCTCAGAACCCCCTGTTCCAAAGAAAATAACCCCACTTTATCTAATTCTCCTCACAGCTAACATTCTCTATTCCTGGCAACATCCTCATACAAAAGCAAAATACTGCAGATGCTGGAAATTTGAAACAAATTCAGAGTACGGTGGAGAAACTCAGCAGGTCTCTGGCAGCATCTGTGAAGAGAGAAACAGTGTTAACTTTTCGAGACTGGTATGACTTCTTTAGAACTTCTTCATATATCTTCTCTGTGCTCCCTCTCGCAATGACATTAGAGAATCATTTCCTCCTTTACTATTTGTCAGGTTGGCCTGTGTTTAAACTGTCTGTTGAAATTTGTTGGCAGCAGAGATATAAGACCTTTTTTCTAATATTAAACTATTTTAGTTTGGCTAGAAGACCAATAAATACTCAACTCTTTTGAAATTATCTTGTTGAAGCACTTAAGAATCTAAGAAAGAACAATTGTCATCATGGATGTGTTAAGCTTCACAATTTTCTGACTTTTTGTCTTTCAAAAACAAAGATGAAGCCAAAGGAAATTTAATGGTCAGTCTTGTATACACAGAAGATATGGAGGAACAACCAGCTTAGACCTGCTTACTGTGCAACTCTTGCTTAGTAGTCAAATAGTCATTGGGCGTAATGAGTAGATAACAGAACACAGCAAAACATTACATGAAGACAATTCTACTGAGAAGAAATTCATCCTTCTCAACTGCCTGTAGCCCTCTCCATAAGAAAACTAGTGAGACAGAGGAGTGAGACACCCAGCATGAGTGAGCAGCAGTAGATACGAGTAGCAGGGATAGCCCAAGATTTTACGCAACAGAGGCTCTAGTGGCATTGTGGTAGGTTCCCTATCTCAACTCCTGGACCAGACAGCAGATCGAGTCGCAGCGAGAGAGGGTGCAGCAGCAAAGCACATGGTCCTAGTCCCAGAGTGGGAGCAGAGCGAGCGCGGGCTCAGTCCCGGAGTGGGAGCAGAGCGAGCGCGGGCTGAGACATGGCCAAGTCCTGGAGTGGGAGCAGAGCGAGCACGGGGCGAGTCCCGGAGTGGGGGCAGAGCGAGCGTGGGTTCAGTCCCGGAGTGGGAGCAGAGCGAACGCGGGCTGAGACACGGCCGAGTCCCGGAGTGGGAGCAGAGCGAGCGCGGGCTCAGTCCCGGGGTGGGAGCGGAGCGAGCGCGGGCCGAGTCCCGGAGTGGGAGCGGAGCGAGCACGGGCCGAGTCCCAGAGTGGGAACATAGCGAATGCGGGCCGAGTCCCGGAGTCGGAGCAGAGCGAGCCCCGGCTGAGTCCCGGAGTGGGAGCAGGGCGAGCGCGGGCTCAGTCCCGGAGTGGGAGCAGAGCGAGCGCGGGCT